GAAGGCGCAAAAAACAAATCGAGTTCGAATCGAGCACGAATCGCTGTCGATAAACTTGGAAATGTGGAGCTTTATTCCGAAAACTTTCCTTTGCCCAAAACCCAGTAATAATAGATCTTTTGAAGACTTTTTGTAATATTAAGCAGAAACTTTGGGCTTTTTACATAAGGCCTCGAATCGAGCTCGAATCGCTGTCGACAAACCTGGAAATGTGGAGTTTTGTTCCGCCACTACCAAGGAAACTCCTGCCCTTTCCTCAACCTTTTTTCCGATAACTAGGGTAAAGTGTTGTTTTGTTAACTTCAGCGTCAGTTGCTCTTGTCAAAAAGACCGTTAGCTCACTGCGAAACTTTCAGACATAGATTGCTGAACTTCGCTACACTTACTTTCGTCTTCTAGTTAATGGAACTCCACACCATTCCTCATCAACTGATTACTGGTAAGGATGGAAACGTTGGACCGGAAACCATCCAGACGCTGGATTCACTGAATGGACAGAAACTCAAAGTCAAAAAAACCTTCGATGGCAGCACCTTTGTTGGGCACGACCAAATGGACCCAAAGCACTGGGTGAGTTAGCAGTTAGTGTCGACTGGCTGCGTTGTAATCACAAGATCGGTGTCAACAAGATGGAAACATCCGATGCCCTAAGAAGTATACTGTCTAAAACTCTAAAGTCGAAAATGGCGTGACGGTGACAGCTCTTTGCGTTCTCGGTTAGGTGAGACTTGAATTCAGCTAGTATGGACATAAACTAGACCGACTGAAAAGGGACTTTCCTCGCGTATGTAACTTATGTTTGTGTCCGTGCTTCTATAGGTTTGAGGACTATCGCCTCATTTTTATTTCAAGGCTCAGGATCTATAAATCAGGTAGCGGAGTTCCTAACTTAGTTTGTGATCAATGTCGTTCTATGTCGCTCAAGGGAACATGCGTTACAAAACAAAACGCATGAAACCTTTACTGGTATTTTGAAACAGGCTATGCACTATGAAACTGAAGTTTTAGTGCTGACTCACGCATGGAAACTCGAGTGGGGTATCAATTTCTGGGGCAACGCTTGGGTTGGGCATGACTAGCTGACGACGGATAATATGCCAGAAATGGTCATCCTAGTCTCCCATGTCTTTCTCGGTAGTGTTTTTCTGCATATACATATAGGCATGAAATGGATCCGACAAAGCAAAGGGAGACCGGAATGGCCATTTCTGGCT